GATATAATAGTACTTTGATCAGGTACAATCGCTGACAGAGCTTCAATATTTGAATCACGATTAAACTCAATTACACGAATAGAAAATAAACATGTTAACAAAAGAAAATCTTGCACCACTAAAAACAAAAAAAAACATCAACTTTTTATCTTACGTTCACATGTTTTAAATCTGATTTTAATGGAAAAGCAGATTGACATCGACAATGAGAAATAAATAACTTCTTCCAAGTATACAGAAATATTCACAACTACCATTCCATGGATTACTTCGATTTGATTGTCTTGTTTCATGATAAACAGCAATTCCTTTCGGTTGAATAAATGATTCAGATTTATAAAAGTATACTGGATTGTAATTAAAATGACGACGAACTTGTAATATTGCACCTTTTTACATCATTAATTAAATAAAGATTATTTTTGAAATAAATCGATTCCAACTGCATATGAAATATTCAGACTAGCAGATGTTGTTGTTATTCGTTAGAATAAAAATGAAAATTTTCATTAAAATGTCAAACATGCTAGAATTGCGTACACTGTCAATGAGCAAATCCATCAATATATATAGAATATATTACAGAGAGTATGAGAGAAGAGGAAAGAATAAGTATCTTAAATTCAGCAGTGTAAACATAAAAACATAAATTTTTAGAAAGAAGCGAATAACTGCCACGAGTAGCATTGTACTAAATTAGTCAATGACAAATCATTTGATTCAAGCTTTTGTTCCTCTCTGGGAATGTCATCAGGAATGATTTATTAGATTCAAAGATAGCGAAGACAACAGCAACAACAACGACAATAACAACAGAATTATCACGTCAATAACAACAATCTCAACAGCAATTTGAATCTTTTAACTATCCGAAGATTTTCAACGTATGCTACGTGTCGTTCAGTGCCTTTCCAAATGTTTCATGTGTAAGCATATTTTCTTTTATAATTCTTCGCGACCAATCGGTTTCTCGAGATAGTGTTCGTACATTATTGAAATCGAATAAATGTTTTTCTGTTTCAATATGTTTTTGTTAGGGCTGATGACGATTCATGGGTGTGGGTGAGTATGATGTTGATCAAGACAACTCTAACACTCACAGCCACCCACCCACCCACACCCTAGGTAATCATTGTAAGGAAAAGAGAAACAAGCATACGAAGTTCAATGGACATTTTTTTGCACTGAAAGAGAGAAAGAATTGCACATGAGAGCGTTTTTATGTAGTGCATAGCGACTTGCAACATATTAAAACGCATACACTGCAATGAAGCATATAACCATTTCTTTCAGTTTTGCTTCCTTCCTGTAGTCAACTTCCATGTAGAAGAAAGAGTAGATGTCTAATTTGAGTTCGAATATAAATGAAAAAAAACGAATTTCCTGTTCAAATAGCATAAAATCAAAAGAAAAAGTTTATATAAATCATTATCGTAAGTTGTATACTCACTGCGTACATCAATGTCTACAGAGAGACGAGTATGGATCGCGGCTCTTCGGAGAAGGGTGGTGCTTCGCGCTCCCACTCCGCAACACTGAGATAAAAAGGTTAGTTACGCGGGAACTGATTTCCCACTTGATGTATTGCACGAGAATCACTACCGGCATTATTCCGAACAGTGCAAGCGATTACCCATGCGTTCGCACTAGGTGGGCATTTCTTTTCATCCATACACATGCAGTCATGCTTGAGATAGTTGCGGAGAGAAGCTGCCTGAGCTATACGGAAGAGTGGGTGAACCATTGAGCTGATTGTTGTAGCATCATATGTGATGCGCGTAGCATCGTAAGTAGACCCCGTCGGGTCCAGAATTTTTGGACCCGAACCCGGACCCGATCATTTTAATTTTTTCTACCCGGACCCGTTTACAGTTTGCTGGACCCGGACCCGGTCGCTTAAATTTTTTGGATCCAAACACAATGACAAGTCAGTTTAGATAGTATAGTCAACAAGGGTTTTGTTGTTTTTTATTTATTTTCTAAATACATTTGATTTCTTCTTTGTATAAAACGAACAAAACTTTAAAAAAATTCAAAATAAATTGTATGGATCAAAGTTTTCTTCAGACGTGGACTCGACCCGGACCCGGTCAAAGCAAAATTTTCAGACCTGGACCCGAGCCCGGTCAAAATAAAATTTTTGGACCCGGACCCGGACCCGAGCGGGTCCGGGTCGGGTACGGAGCCGGGTCCTACCCGACGGGGTCTAATCGCAAGTCATCGAGGTGACCTCTCACGTAGAATGTGTCATTCGTTAATAAGCTGTTAGAGGTGGGCGTGAATGGGTGTGGTGTGGATGTGCGTGTGGGTGTGTGGATGTATGGATATAGGCATGAGTGAACACAGATGTATTAGCTTCACACAGCTGTCCTCATTCACACCCACACCCATATCTACACCCATGTTCTCATAGAGCAGGGTATGGGTGTAGGTTTGGGTGTAAAAGTAGGGACGGTCCAAATCCATATCCGCACACTTACACCCACATTCCACATCCACATCCAAAATAGAATTTTAAAGCAACTATCAATCATTTTAGAGAAACAACATAAAATGAATACATCGATGATGGGACACTCGTTAGCATTTAAAGTATAAATATTCATTAAAATAATAACAATCAAATTATCAAACAATAAATGATAAAACGGTATGTCTTCATGTTTGTTATTCATGAATGAAAAAACATATACTGTACTTTTTTATTGGTAGAAAAACAGTGTAAACAAATAAAACAAATCTTGACAAATAGATAAACTAAAGAATTGAATTTTGATGGGTGTGTGGGTGTGGGTGGGTGTGTGAGTATGGGTGTTAAGTAAAAAAGGATTGATACCTACACCCACCCACCCGCACCCACACCCTCAGTAAGCTGAAAGTGCACATCTCTATCAAAATATAAGCTCACTGATAAGTGAGCAGAGCAATGGTGAAAAAGCATCCACCAACTTGAAGCATGTTTGTTGTACAGAGTGCGTAAAAATACTTTTCCAGGTTGGTAAGGTTGTGCTTTCAAATAATATCAACAACAAATTTTAACACTGAATAGTAAACGTTACAGAAACTTTTCAGTGTTGAATTCAGAAAATTGTACGCCAAATCAGCAGAGAAAAATGCCTTTTGTGAGGCAGTTCAAACTAGATCTTATCCAAAATGATGAATATCAAAACAGTACTGAATATCTAATCTGAAAAAATTAGAATAATAATAAATAATGAAGCTAGCAAGAATGGCTATCAGACGCGGAACACAATTGTTTTGATGAAGAAATTCTACAAAAACATATTTCATATATTTCGACAAACATGAAAACAAACATTGGACTATCTCAAATTATTCTATGTTCGTATCAATCTCATCTTTTTGCTGTAAAACACTAGTGGTTGTGTTCATCAAGTCTTACAAAATAAATATTACTTTTTAGTATTTATCATCATAGATGAGATCCAGTTTGAACTGTCTCATGAAAACATTTTTTCTATGTTGATTTGGTGTACAATTTTCTGAATTCAACACTGAAAAGTTTCTGTAATGTTTAATACTCAGTGTTAAAATCTGTTGGTGATGTTATTAGAAATCACAGCGTTACCCGCTCTCCTAGAAAAATATTTTTAGGCCCCTTATACTGTTTGATGAATTAAAACTGAAATATTCTGGATATCATGCTTTGATGAAAATTAAATTCAAGAGAAAAAAATCTTTTGTTGTCAAAGTGCTTACTAAAACGGGACAGAATAGTGATAAAGTTGAATCTGCAACGCTCATGAGTCTGAGCAAAAAGCGAGAAAGTAATGTTATGTACAATTGATGGTTCTAGATTACCCTCGTATTCGAATTAGCAATTGCCGAAGTATGTATTCTATTTTCTTGATAAAGATGAGAATAGGATAAATCTCTGATTTCTTCTTAGCTTTTTGCTCTGCTACGTAAACGCTAAAAGATCGATTAAAAATGTAAATTTAGTCATTTGAATTTGGCGCTTTTAAACGTATCAACAAAATGAATATCAATCAGAAATCACAAAAGAATACTTCTGCCACTCATACTACTAATTCATTCAAACATCACAATGCTCTCCTTCCGTCAACAGTGAAGGTATACTTTTTTTTTTGTTATCATTTGTAATTATTATTGAACTATCTCCTATAGTGAAATGAAAATTTTTCTGATACACCATATAAAGCTTTACAAACATTACGTAGTGCTCAAATCGGTGTTCGTTTACCAAATAAAATATTTATTCATGCTGTTGACCAATTTCTTAAACATTTACGAAATGAAACAAATAAAGTATGCTTTTGAATTTTCTATTGATTCAATATATATTCATCTATATCTGTAGGATTATGCATATGGTAATGATTCTTCAAAAGAGGCAGTCGATAATAATGATAAGATTTTGATTGAACCTTTATCAACAACTAAAGGAACTTCTCTTGAACGAACAGTAGAAGATATGTGAGTATATAAAAATATCTGGATCAAACTGCTTGAATAATTTCAGAAACTCGAAGTATTTTCTATAATAGTCATAAGTAATTATTTGTTTCTTTACTAATTTCAGCTTTTTTTTTAATGAATGTTTCTTAACTAACATGTATATGTTGTGTGAGAAATCGAAATTCAAATAGACATACATTCATACTAAATCAAAATAATTAAAAATCTGAGTAGAATAACTATTGTTTATTGAGAAAGCATCTACTTGTTTTCCTAAACACTTTAAAATACAAAAGACTTAGTATATTCATGTATATTTGGACAATCATCTCGTTTTAAATGAGATTTTGTCCTTTTGGGAGTGGGTAAATATAGGAGCCTCACCCCCCCCCCCCCCCCCCCCCCGCTCCCCTTCAACTTAATAGTGGTGATGTAGAGTTAATATGTTTTTTTGTAATTCTTTATAATAAAGTGAATCTCTATTTACTATTTAATACACGATCTTTATGTTTTGTGAATCTTTATTTTTCCTCTTCATTTCACTTTTCACTTAGTAAAGCATGTGATTATATGAATTTATCTCTAGTCGAATTCTAATTTTGTTCAATCAAAATTAGAATTTCAAACTTGTGTACGAGTTATTTTGAAATTTAACCGTATCCCAATTTCATTTACAACATACATATGTGTGATTTAATATCGTATCATACGTCACATTTTTCATAAATATTCTATTAAATGGTTGATTCAAAGTATATAATATGCTGGCATCGAAGTTCCATTACTTGTTTTTTTAGGGTAACACTTGAATTTGTCGAAAAGTTCCGTAAATCATTTGCTGAAGCTGATATTGATAATACAGGTTATTTGGATGTTAGTGAATTCACTGCATTTATGCGGCGAACATACCCTGATATAACCGATCGAGAAGCACAAATTATTTTTATGAAAGTATGAAATAAAGAGTTAACAGAAGAAAAAAAATACACGACTTTTTTTTCTATTAGATAGGTAGATGACGATTATATTAAATGACTATAAATATGATGAATGAAATTCTTCATATAGATACAAGTTGTGATGATGAAGTTGATCTTTCAGAATATTTAACATATATTTTATTTGAACATCAAAAAAGAGAAATAATGTATGATATGCCAAAACCAATGCCTTATCCAAATAATCCAAAAGAATTTACATTAAAAAATCTTTCACTTGATCTTTATATTGGTGTACATAAAAAATATTTTCTATTTGAATATAAATAATTTAGTTTTGTTTTTGAATAGTTTCATTTTTTTCCGGGAATATCACGTACTGGTAAAACTCTTGAACAAATTGATTGTACATATGGACGATATATATCAATATCACGTAATGGTATTGTATCACATTGGTCATTATCATTAAAACTTATACGAGAATCAAAAATTCAATCAATTGAACAAAGAAAACAGTAAATTAAGCAATACAAAATAATCTTACGAAGGACGATACCCAAGTGATAAATGACTTTCAAGTGGTGACTGTCTTCAATCGATAAGGTCAAATGAGTAGGTAAAGACTGAGATTTCGCATGTTTGGTGAGTTTTTCCTGAAGGATAGCTGATAGAAAAAGTTTCCGAATTGTTTGCTGAAGCCTTTCCGAGGTATGAATCTTTCAAAATATCCATGTTTTGGCAAAGTTTCAGATCAAAATCCAGAAATATAATGTCACTTGAAAACTGTGGTCCTACAGAAAAAAACTACTAAAATATTCGATATCTTAGTAACAAAAATCCAACAGCTTGAATCACTCTAAAATATGTACCTACTCACTGGACCCTTTAGATTGAAAATACTTCTCACTTAGAAACGATTCATAACTTGGGAACTATCCCTCCTTAATTTAGTTTTGTTTTCTATATAGAACTCTTCCATCATGGATAACATGTACATGTGTTCTACCAGATATGAATTATTTTGCTATAGCAACAACAGAAAGTGATTTAATTTATTATGATATAAATTCACATACATATACAGGTTCTATTCTATTATAATAAATCATTTTCCAACTAGTCTAACAACCATTGATTATCGTATGAATATAAAAAAATCTTCT